AAAAAAAAAAAAAAAAAGAATTAGGATCCACTATTCCCACTTCAAGGCTGGTTTAAGTAGCTTTCTGGATATTCAGCAACCAAGGAATAGAGACTAAATCTAAGAAAGATCAAAAGGCAGAGAGAAGAGCCAATACTTTGGTCATTGCCCTCCACAATCAGGCAGAACCCTGGGCATATGGAACCTCACTGAAAGGGCCCTGCAAGTCCAGGGAATCACCCAACCTCCTGAGCAGGGGACTGCTGGGCCCCAGAGACAGGAGTCCACCAACGTGCATTTTGTAAAAAATAGGACCACTAGAGAGAGAACTGTCCTCATGCTTCCAAGGGAAACAATATGGTCAAACGAGAACGTGAACCATCCTGACAGATGACACAGCTAACAGAGGAAAAGAACTGGGGGAGCCAAAAGACTCATCAAGTGTCCATAAAAGTAACCCCTGAGGAGCTTGACTAACCTTAGCAATAAAAAGGAGGTTATGTTTGATTGCATACTCTGTCTTGAACACCCAATAGGAAAGTATAACCCAAGCAAACAGTAAATAATAAGAATAGTAAGAATAAAATAAAGAGGAAAGAGGAGGAAAAAAAGGAGAAGGAATGGGACAGGGAAAGGGAGAGTGGGAGAGGGAGGGAGGCAGCAAGGGAGAGAGAGAGGTAAGAAATATCTTTGTCCGCTTCTCCTTAAGAGTAAGACTGATAAAAGACGGGGCAGGTGTGACAGTCAGAAAATACCACAGGAAGAGAGGATGCATAGACTCCTGGGCCCTTAGCCTGCTACTCATTAGAAGCGGGATCTGTGGTTTCTCCTAAGGAAGTCAGAGACTTTGACTTTTGTTAAAAACCATGACTTCCCTTGGGTCTGAAAATGCCCAATAGGTAACTAAAAGTAGAACAAAGTTTGACCTTTATAAAGCTCGGGTCAAATCTTTCTCAGCTCTGCAGACAGGCATGTTAGTCATTTAGGGAATGTCTGTCCAAAAGTAACAAAGCAGGGTGTATTGGCCTTAAAAATTTACTTAGCTTATCTTACTACACTTCAAGAATGAAGACACCAGGGTAACAGATTTGCAAGGACACTCAGCTAGCTCAGAATTCTCCAGCCATTGTCCCAAACCTGTGGTCACCTGGATTCTGGGAAAAGCAGAATTGACATGCCTGAAACTTCACAGAGACCTTCCTTTCATGGGAACAGAAACACTCTGCAGCTATAAGGACTTCAGAGCTATAAGCCAGAACTAATACAATGATCAGCCAAGCCCCAGCCCACCAGCTAATCCTTAAAAGCTGGCCTCTGACCCTTCCCAGTGGGCTAGTCTAATCCCCTTCATTAGAGTATGCCCTTTCCAGTTACTATTCAAGCTGGAGTTCTTTCCTGTTTTTCTTACTTTACTGTGTTAAGGGCTAGCTTGATCTTTGTCAGTCCTCAAGCTCAAGTCCCTTACTACTTTCTTTTCTAATTAAAGCTTTCCACCTATAAATAAATAAACAAATAAATCTCTTTTTTTTTTACCTGTCCAAAATATTTTACAGAAACATTTTACCACCCTTGAAGTCACAGGTACAGGCAAGGATTTTTTAAACAGCAGCTGCACATAAAACAGTACCAAGAATCAACAAATGGGATTATATCAAATTAAAAAGGTTTTGCGCAGTGAAAGAAACACCTAACCAAGTAAAGAGACAACCTACAGAATAGAGAAAAATTTTTGCCAGCTATTCCTCAGAGCAGTAATATATAAAATATATAAAAGAACTCAAAAAATTATACCCCCAAATAAAAGACCCAATCAAAAAGTGGGCAAGTGAAATGAATAGACATTTCACAGAGGAAGAACAAATGGCCAATAAATACATGAAGAAATGCTCAACTCTGCTGTCCATTAAAAGAAATGCAAATTAAAACAACACTGAGATCTTACCCCAGAAAGAATGGCCATCATCAAAAATACCAAATAATAACAAATGCTGGCAAGGTTGCAGGGAAAAGGCAACCCTTCTACATTGTTGGTGGGAATACAAACTGCCACCCTTAATCCCAACATCATACCTTTAGTCCCAGCATCACACACTTAATCCTAGCATCATACATCCTAGGTCCAACCACCTCCAAAAAAACCCCACCTATGACCACATGAGGCTTTGGGGGGACATTTAGATATAAGCCACTTTGGAAAGCAGTAGGGAGACACCTCAAAAGCTAGAACTAGAAATTCCATTTGACCTAGCTACTCCCCTTCAGAGAATCATGCTGAAAGTTAAAGGTATATTATTTTCATACGTGCATAGCCATGTTTATAGCAACACAATTCATAATAGCTATATCAAGGAAGCAGCCTATCTGCCCATCAACAGATGAATGGATAAAGAAAATGTGGTTTTTACACACAATGGAGTGCTGCTGTACTATAAAGAATGATAAAACAGTGAGGCATTTGTAGGAGGAGATGCACCCTATTGTGGCTTATATCTAAATGTCCCCCCAAAGCCTCATGTGGTCATAGGTGGGGTTTTTTGGAGGTGGCTGGACCTAGGATGTATGATGCTCGGATTAAGTGTGTGATGCTGGGACTAAAGGTATGATGTTGGGATTAAGGGTGGCATGGGTGGCACCACCCAAAATGCAGGTAGCCTGGATGAAAGATAAAGGATGGCTTGGTTGCTGTTGTTGCTGCTTGCTGTTTTGCTGCCTCTTGCCTGCTCATGGCCTCTCTGCCATGCCACCCTGCCTTGGAGCCAGCCAACCATGAAATGAAACCTCTAAAAACACTGAGCTGAAATAACTAAGAGCTTTCAGAAGTGGCTTGTGAGTAGAATTTGGAAAGGTTTACAGATACCAACTCAAGAAGCAGCCCTGGAATGTCTTAAACTGTACCTGATGGGAGATTCTGGTCAGAGCTCAGAAGACCAGAATGTTGATAGAAGTGCAGCAGGTAAAGATTAGGGTCAGGAGGTTTCTGCTTGGAAGAAGGTCTGCATTGGCTGTTGGACTCCTGACCATGTGTGTTATCCTTTGGCAAAAAGTTTGTCCACATTTGTTCACATCCAAAGACTTTGCTTGAGACTGAGATTAAAGGCCACCAACTACTTAACCCTGTGGAAGAAATTTTAAGGCAGTCTAATGTTGAGGTGGTGGCATGGCTATTGTTTTGGGCTTTTAGCCAGATCTATGTTAAGAATCAAGAGCAAAAACCCCAGCGGAATGATATAAAACATTTTGAGTTTGGCCAGAAAGGAAGCTCCAGTAAAGCTGTGGACTATAAAACTGAGAAGATCTCCATTGCTGAGAAGGAACAGGACAATAGAAAAGATGGCCTGAGGATATCACAAGAACCAGCAGGACTCTACCATCTGCAGCCCTCAAAATTGCAAAGGTGAAAGACACTGCTTTGAGAATAAAGCACCAGAGCACCATACTCCAGAATGGCAGTGGTCTTGGAATTGGGTTCAGAATGCTCAGCAATCTGGGCACTTGACCCCTATACCCAAGAAAGAAAGAAGCCTGGCTACTGCTCCAGCTCATAGCACATTTCGGCATCATCTGCACAATGCTGGTTTTAGGTGCATATAGAATGCAAGAGTTGTGGGGTCAGAAAGGCTTCCACCCAGATTTTAGAAAAAGGCCTGGAATACCAGGCAATGTGCTCCCAAGAGGGCAGTGTGTGAAGCTGTGAATGTGAAGCCAAAGGAGGAGTGGAAACTCTAGAAGGCTAGAGAAGCCAGAAATATGAATCATCTGAGGAAAGTTACAAGGAGTGAGCAAAGAGAAAAAAGATGTGGGAGCTACAACCATCAGCAGTGCTATTGGAACAGTGCCACCCAAGCCCTTTGGAGTTCACAACTTGAGACAGATTGTACCACATGGTGGACATGAAACTATGGGATTTAATGTTTTCCCTGTTGGATTTTGACTTGCTTTGCTCCCGTGCCTTTCTACCCATCCACCCCCCTTTGGACCTCTTGGAATGGAAATATCTTTTTTGTGCCACTGTATATTGTAAGTGTTTATCTTTCTTTTCATTTCTACAAGGGCTCTTAGCTAACAGTTTGCCTTAAATCTCAGAAGAGACTTTACACTTAAGACTTCTCAACAATGCTGAAACTGTTACGAATTTGGCAATTCTTAGAGATGGACTAAATGCCTCTTGTATAAATGGATGTACACAAGTCTTTGGGGGGTCATGGGTAGAATGTTATGGCTTGTGTCTAGATGTACCCCCAAAGCCTTATGCCGTCATAGGCGGGAATTTTTGGAGGTGGCTGGATCTAGGGTGTGTGACACTGCAATTAAGCTATGAAACTGGGATTAAGGGCGCCCCACCCTGGGTGTAGGTGGCACTATCCAAAGGGTGTGCAGCCTGCATAAAATATAAAGGCAGGCTAGGTTTCTGTTGTTGCTGCTTGCTGCTGCCTGCCTGTTCTGCAGTGCCCCTCTGCCATGCCAACCTGCCTTGGAGCCAGCCAATTATGAACTGAAACCTGTACAAACTATAAGTTACAATAAACCTTTCCTCTAATTTCGAGTGTTGGGTATTTTGTCTTAGTAATGAGAAAAGTAACTAAGGCAACACTCACCATAATGTTAAGTGAAATAAATCAGACATATAAACTTAAATTTCACATGATTTCTCTTACGTGAGAAACCCAAAGTATAAATAAAGAACAAAATAAAACACAGACAATAGGAAATAGGGAGATAAATCTTTCTCAAACAGAAAGGGGATCAACAGATCGAGTCTTTAATAGGAGAGAGAGAGAGAGAGAAAGACAGAGAGAGAGAAAAGAAGAAGGAGGGGAAGGATGGGGGATGAAAAAAGAATTAAGATACACTACATACATCTAGTCCACACAAGGAATGCAAACACGTACAGCAATGTTCTAATAAAAAGGAAACATTTTACCCATTATTGGGACAGCGCTCACACAGTAGATGCCCTGTGCTTTTCATTTTGCTAGAAGGTAATGAACCTGTAATGAACAAATCTGAGTAGGTTTGTACCTCTTAAAAACTAGGGCTTTGTATTTACAACCTACACACAATAAAAATCCTCACACCTATCTCTGCAATTTACAAGAAAAGAACTGCCAATCATGTTAAGGGTCTGCAAATAGCTTTTAACACAAACAACAAAAAAGTCAAAACTAGAAAGGCAGGGAAGAGGAATAATAAAAAAAAAGCTATAGTATGTACATGTAGCCACACTCCAAGCTTATAAACTACATAAATTGCAAACATGTACTAATAAAATAAAAAATTTTTAAAGTCAAAACATTTCAAATAATCTATATTTTAAATTATATAGCATCTATATCTAAAATTGCACATGGTGGAAAAGATATGTATTGCTTTTCTTCGTTTAGTAAAGCAGTTGGTTCAATTCCTTAAGCAAAAAACAAAATGACCTGCTATTATCCTGCACCCTAAAATTAATACTATTTCCTATAAAGCATACCAAGTGGTGGAAGTTTTCTCTCCCTCAAAGTGAAGTATAGGTTAGTCTAAATTTTATTGGGCGACAATGATTAACAGCCCATTAAAGTACTAAAATTTGAAAAATTTAAAAGCCTAACTGATAAAAAGCAGTCTTGCTCAAGAAATTTAGCATAACTAAACTGCCAGAAAACATGGGGGGAAATCCCTAATAAAAAATAAGGGAAAAGTTGTCTCATTTGCTTCATTCAGCTTTTGGTGCTATACTGTGGAATTAAGGTTTAAAAGAAAAAAAAATGCTTTGTTCTAGAATTATCATTTAAGCAAAATCAGTACAAGTATCTATCATATTTTGTATTTCCATCATGGAATGCTCAGTTCTTTACAGCTTTTTATGAAAAAGAAGGGAACTGTCACCATTCATACCCGTTCTTTGTCCACAACGAGGAACAGCTCCACATAGCGGGTTTGCGGCAGAACAGCTCTTCTTCTCTGTCCAATAGACATGCAGGAAAGCAAAGGTGAGTCACACAGGTACCTATGACCACACCTCATCTCAAACCGGTAGCTCATGTCTGCTAGGACATCACTGTTATATCTAGCACTCCTTAGTCAATAAGGCTAAAACTATGTCTATTAAAAGTGGTAGCTATTGCCTGTACTAATCCGAGAAAACTTCTAGTTAACGATAAAATGGGCTATCCATGTTTTCAAAGCACTAAAATTACTTATTTCTTTGTAAATCTAAGCTACAAACACCCCCCACACACATACACCCCTCCCTCAACACATACCTATATAATGAGAAACCCCATTACCATGGTAAAACAGGATTCAAAAAATAACATCCACTAATACTGAACAAAGAATATTCACTAACATCCAACAGCAGAAGTTGGGAGAAGGTTGCCACTTTTAAAAATGACGAGTGTTTGTCATTTTACAGAAATTCATACAAATAAGCTGGGCATGGTGGCACACCCTATAATCCCAGAACTTGGGAGGCTGAGGCAGGAGGATCGCTGTGAGTTTGAGGCCAGCGTGGGCTACATAAGCAAAATCAAGGCCAGTCTGTACTACATAATAAGACTCTGTCTCAAAAACAAAAGAACAACGAAATTCATATGAATAAATTAGAATAAGCAAAAATTTAAATGTTGTCCAGTGTTTAAGACAAGGAGGAGAGAGGGGAAGGGATGAGGAAGTAAAAAGAATTAAGATGTATTTTATATATATATATATATATATATATATATATAAGTTGCTATCACAAATGTAGTTATTATGTACTGCATACATACTGAATACAATTTTGTAATTTTAAAAAATAATAATTTAAACAGTCCAATAAACTTAAGAGTAAACAGCAGGAGAAGCAATAAAAAAAATGCCATAAACTAGTCTTAGTTAACTGAAATTATGCCTTAAACTAGATGCAGTGGTGCATACCTTTAGCCCCAGTGAGCCCAGGAATTCAGGAACAGCCTGGGGAGAAACAAAGCTCTTCCCACACAGCAACACCCTCTCACATGTAAAAAGCTATGTTCTCTGCAGCTGAGGTTAATCCAGTCCCAGACCCATTTCTCCTAAAGGACTCTAGTCAAAAGTAAATCACTGACTCCTAAAGAAGTTTCAAAATGGGGACAAAAATGTCCTTGGAAGACAACTGAAGTTGTTAATATCCTAAAGCCAAATCTCTCTCTGCTTCTCCAACTTAGAGCTCACAAATTACCACTGTGGTTTATGTAAAAAGTATCTGAATACGAACTCCATTGCTGTGAAAGTAAACTGGACAATTAAGTAGCAATTTTTAGCATGCTTACTGTCTAAAGTTTAAGCTCTAGTTCCCAAAGCCCACAGAACCTAAACTGTTCTCAAAGTGGTAGCCAGGAACGTACATTGCTCATATTTTTATGCCCTTAGTTCCTGTCACAATATCTGGCATGTAGCTGTGAAAAATCATAGTAAATATTGGCTTAATGAATAAATACATGATTTTTAAAAAGTGTTCATCAGAGCCAGCCACAAAGTATTTTTCCTTACTCGAAGTAGCTGAGTCATGCTGTGACGCTCTTCCTCTCCACCCTTTGTGGTTTCTTTCTCTATATCCATGTTAGAAACTCCACATTTCAGAGGCTCTCTGTGGACATCATCCATTGGATAAAAGATGTGCTCAAAGCAGGAGCTGTTGTGCAGGGGTTCAATCCCGTAACTGGCATTCTCTAAATGCAGCAATCCTCTAAATATTGCATTACACATACATCATTTTTCAAGAAAAAAAAAAAAAATACACAGGAAAAGAAATCAGAAAATCTGAATTCAAATTCTAGCTTCTTAACACATATAAGAAGATGTAAGCGATAGGGGGAAAAAAGGCTTTACAAAAAAACAAACGTTTTGGAGTCAGATAGATCTAAATCTACATTCTAAACTGCTGCTTATAGCATCACTGCCTGAAAATTACTTAACCTCTCTGTAACTGAACAACTGCTATACAATAGAAGGGCCTGCAGAGAAATGCCTAAGTGCATGAAGTCTGTAACCAGAGGACCAGAGTTCTGAATCCCAAACATGCTTTCTACTAGCAAGTCACTTAACCTCTGCCTTAGTTTACATTCTGCAGAGGACTGTTTGACAACTAAATTATTTAATGTGCATAAAATCCTTAGACCAACCCTTAACACACAGTAACTATTCAGTGAATGAAATCACTTAGATGAAGATAAACAGTTGCTTTAAGAATTAAGTGATTGGCTTATGTCTTGTAACAAGTAATTACTGTGAAGATAATGGTATGCAGTGTAATAACTATATCTTATTACTTGGCCATGAAAATTTGTTTTATTTTTTCAAAAAAGAAAAACAAAAACAATAGCCTGTCATTGACCTTGAAAAGAAAAAGTGATTCTTACTCATTCAATCATTCATTTACTCAACCAGTAGAAACTACACTGTCAGGCCTTCAAAATAAGTAACTAACACTAGTATAATTTCATGGCATATATGATACAAGTTTTTTCTCAACCTTAGTTTCCTCACCTAATATGGTGATAATGAGCCTTTCCTCAGGCATTATGGGAATTGAATGAGATAATACAGGTGAAAATATTACAAATAAAATGCTACAGAAGTTCAAAGTGTATTTTATTTTAAACAGCACAAATTATTTACTGGTCTCAAAAATGAAATTTGCTTTATAAATATTAAAATCTATCAACACTAATTTTTTTCTAAAACACACCAAGACTATCTGATGCATAGCTATAAAGAACTTCAGTAACATCAAAGTATAAAATCTAATTTTGTTAAACTCCAACAATGACTTGGCATGGAGACAGAGATAAATGAGGTAAGAAATAGGAAAAAGAAAAAGACAGAAAATTCCTTACCTGAGTCCAAAACAGTCACTAAGAGCAACTGATGAATTATAAACTCCTTCCACATATCCCCGATAATGACAATGATTCTAAATAAAAAACACCATATTATTTTCACATACTGCTACATTTAGAAAATCATCATAGAAATTGCACACTAACAAAATTACTTGTGGCAGTAAACTAAAAAATTTAATTTATATTATTGGCATCTCAGAATATCAGACAGTAGTCTCCAGACTCCCTGCAGACTATCTACTCTCATGCTACAAGTACACAAATGTATAGGCAGACTCCCACCAGTTACTCAATGCACATAGCTCTGTCCCATTGACCTTTTACCCTAGAATCAGAACAGGACATTATGTTATGTCTAACATTTTAAGTCATAGTCGATTCAAGGGGCATCAGCAACCAGTTGACATATAATTCAGATAGGGATGTTTTGAGAGGATAATGGAACTCCCATTCAAAGAAATCAGTACACTGATTTATTGTGATCAGATGATTTTCTTTTCTTCCTATTTGATGTATATTATTTAGGTGTGTTATATTATTATTAGGTATATTATATTATTAGTAAATTTAGTAATCTTCAAAAATTTCAGTGGCTTAATCTTAATTCTGAGCAAGAAATGCAAAGATAACACCATTTACTAAACCAGGGATGGCAGCACAAGCCTGTAATCTGAACTACTGAAAAGTCTGAGGCAGAAAGATCTCAAGTTAGGGATGTAGCTCAGTGCTCCCTCAGATCAATTCCCAGTAGTACAATCAATCAATCAATCATTTAGTGATACCAAACTATTTAGTACCTAGAGAGATTTTCTCAGCTTTAGGACAATTACAGGAGCTAGGGTGTAGCTCAGTGGTAGAGCATTTTGCCCTGCATGCACAAGGCCCTGGGTACAAGTCACACAACTGAAAAACAATTGCAAAGAACTAAAATAAAAATCCAAGGGTCAAGGAACACTAGCTCCACTAGACAAACACAAGGCCTTCATTATTAAAACAGCAGGGTACTGGTGAATTACTAGAAAGACCCAAACCAGTGGAACCAAAGAGAAAGTCTGCAAACAGACCACAAGTACATATCGACATTTATTTGATAAAAGTGGCATCTCAAATCACAGTGGCAAAGATATATTTTAAATGAATGCTGCTAATTAGACATTACAAAAGAATAAAATTAGAGCCATAGTTCACACCATGTAAAAGTAAATTCCAAATGGATTGAGATTCTAAACATAAAAGTAAAAACATACAAGTTCTAGAAGAAAATATGACTGAATACCTCTTTATCCTTGAAACAGGAAGACTTTCTGCCTGTCACTCAAATATAAAAAATATTTCTTGGGCTGGGGATTTAGCTCAGCGGCAAAGCACCTGCCTGGCAAGTGCAAGATCGTGAGTTCGGTTCCCGGTACCAGAGAAAAACCCAAAAAAAAAAAAAAAAATTTCTTGAGCTTCCACATGGAAAAAAAACACCAAAAATGTCAAAAGATAACTGACTGGAAGAAAGTATTTGTAACTTAACTAATAGATAAAGTGTTAATATATCACTACATAAAAAGATATTTTAAACATTGAAAGGAAAACATTAAAAGCCCAAGCCAGATACTATGGCACATGCCTATAATCTCAGCACTCTGGAAGGCTGATGCAGGAGGATTCTACATTCAAGTCCAACCTGGGCAATTTAACAACTTAATGAGATTCTGTCTCAAGATAAGAAATAAAAAGTATTTCTTAAAAGGGAAGGGACTGTACCTCAGTTTAAAGAACTAGATTCAATCTGAATATGGCAGAAAAAAAAAAAAGAAAGTAAAAAGTAAATGCTCAACAGAAAACTAGGCAATTCACACAATGTATATAATCTAAAAATGCTCTTACATGTATGAGAAAATTTTCAATCTAACACGTGACAAAGATACTATCTCTGAATCCATATTGACAGAAATCACTCTAGCAGTGATGAAATTAGAAAATTATCATTTTGATAGCTGTCACAGCAACAACTGATTCAGACAAAAACTAAATACTAAAACTTAGTGTGCAAACACTGGAAGAATAACAGGACACTTTAGACAGTCTCAAAGTATCTACCCACAGCATTCATTTAAAAGGCAGGGATAGTGACTTTACAGCAGAGAAGCCTGGCAGACACCTCCTAAACCAAAGGGCCAGTGTGATCGCTGTCAAGCAGCAGACTCTTTGACCGCATGGGTTTACTCATTTGATATTCCAACAGCAAAGTTGGCTAGCCCCCAGCAAGAGATCCTTTCACCTGACAACCTAATAGTACTTGTTTAATAACCTGCTTTTATTAAATATTTCCAGAGAATTCAGTTTAGTTCTGTTGCAAAGTTCCTGTATCTACCCAATCAGATCTACCAAGAACACAATTGCCTTCAGTTGTTTTGCTGAATTTCATAAACTTTCATTTCAGGAAGAAAGTCCGAGGTCCACTGGCACACTTGGATAGACTTTTGCCCCACACCAGCGGTCTCTATTTCAGTCCCATAGAGACACAGCAACAAACCATCATCTGTTCTACAGGTCAAATAAATGGGACTTTGTCCCAGGCTATGTTAAGTTTTCCAAACCCCTCAAGTCCCCCTAAAATATCATTTACTGTTCCCTTGACACTCCCCATCCTATCCCTCCCTATGGAAAAAGGGCACCTAAGTTTCTAAACTACTGTTGAGCTGGTGGCCACGTATACTCCTGTGATTTTCTCTGGAACTGTGACTGCATGTTGATAAAGTTTTATGCCTTTTCTCCTATTAAGCTGTTTGTTTTTTGGTTTTTGTTTTTTTTTTTTTTCAAATTCTCCAGGAAACTCTCAGAGGATAGAGGGGAAATTTCGCTTCTCTCTTATAGCTGTCAAAAATACAACAAATCATACTTTGTAAGTTTACAAAATATCTAGTGAAGTTACAAGACCACAATAAAGGTGCAATGGGCATAAATGGTTTTGGAAACACACAAACTGTAAACGAAAAACTCAATAGAGTTCACTACTAAGTGAAAGCAAGAGTACACAGAACCCACCAGCCCCAAGGATCCAGGGAGCCTTTAGTAATCAATATATTTTTAGAGGACACAAAGGCATCAGTCAACTAGGGGAAAAATTTATGAGAATATCTCGTGTATTTACAAGAGACCCTAAATTCCTAAGTTGGGAGTTTAGAGGTTTCCTTAACATAACAACTCATGTTAAGTCATTTTTCTAAAACTTTGTTTCTTATGAAAAATGGTAAAAGACACTGATGACGAAACCAGAAAACAACTTAATTACTTTAATCTTAAACAGCAGAATCCTGTCTGGGAAGAGCATTTTACTAGGAGAAATCATTTAACTTTTCCCAGTGTGACTTAACTACGTTTTACGGACAAAGTTGTATGTCATTATGGTATTTGACAATCTTGCCATATGTAGAAAAATTTCACTATCAAAGTTTTCATTTCCATTTCAAAGCTGTATTCACACATATGAACAATAATGAAAACCAAGAAATAAATGGAAAACTATGGGTTTCAGTGGGTATTTTCAAACACCCAAGAAAACATAACAACTCTACAAAATGTTAAGATGACAACAGTTACTTAAGTTTCTATAAACTGAAATGTATTTTTAGCAATTTTAAGTACATATTTTTCAATAATAATAAATAATAACCATATTTTAAAAATTTGTTCTGAGCATTTCACAGGTATTAACTCCAAGAACTCCTTTAAAAGTGAGAATAAGGCACTCAGAGATTAATGTACTTCACCAGCAAATACGTGACAGAGACAGAATTTGAGCCACTGTGTGTCTCCAGAAAAGCATGCCAAGATACTTTTTGAAAAAAATAAAATGTCCTATAAGATTACTACTTTTGTTAAGTACATAAATTATATAGTCTTTGGACTCCTGTCGGAGTAATCTTTATCTTTTATCTGGTTTATGCTGTAAGATAAATTTAATCTCTTCTACTAATTTCTACTAAACAACCTAAGAACAGTACACTAAGATAAATGAGTCATACAGTGGACGAGGAAAGGATAGGGCAAAATCAGCATTTCCTCATTTCTTTAAAATAATCGTCGTTAACCTAAAATAAAGATTTTCCCTTCTATTTAGTTGTAGAATGCTACAAAAGTAAATAACTAGCTGGATATGATGGTGCATGCCTATAAATCCAGCACTCAGGAAGCTGAGGCAGGAATATCACAGTAAGTTCAAGGCCAGCCTGGGCTACATAGCAATAGCCTGTCTCACAGAACAAAAAATATGTGAGTAATTAATATAAACAAGTCAATCTAACAAAGCATTATAAAGTTTGGGGAGGATAAAGATATGTAATGGGTAAAAGATATAGCATGAAAACTATTATAAAAGAAAAAAAATGTATATTACCTAACTGCCAAAAAGGACAGTAAAGCACTCTTTCCAAAAGAAAGTAGAAATGTTTATACTCTAAGCAAAAGCGTACAAAACCAATTTCAACATCTACCAATTATTCTGAGTATTCCTGGCCACTTCTGTCCCCAAGAGTATTACCATCTGACACAAACAAGACCACACCTCTTTAGGAAAGAAATGTTTTCATCAAAACATTACAACACTAAAATATGTAACAGCAAAGTATATACTAATGAAAAATGGTTTCATAAGGACTTAAAGGTGTTCTTTTAGGGACATTAACTTTCAACAAAACAATAAAAAATTTCTATTTTCAAAATATATCAGACTCTCTCCCTTCATGATCAGTAGAGGTTATCACTAAATAAAAGATTATTTTCCTCATATTTAAGGCAAAAAAAAAAAAACCTACTAAGTGCCTGGAGAGCTGCCAGGTAAAGGAGAATCTATGCAAATGCCCACCTGCACCAGGGCCACCCACGTATTATGATGCTAAGTGTCTCATAGGATTATGTGCGTAATAGTCCTAAATGCCTGACTAGTACTCACTTTAAAACAGAACTGCTGTCAATTTTGCCAGAGGATCACAGGGAAATGTATTACCTGTACATTAGGATGGTCAGCAATCAAAGCCCCTTCTTTGTTGTAGGTATAAACCACAAAATCCTTAGGCAAAAGATCTCTAGAAAAGGAATAAAACATTTATATTTATTTGAATCATCAACTAAAGGACACAACTCATAAGACAGTTTTTCCAGAACAGAGGAACAGAAATAAATAAAAAAATTTACCCAATTAATCTTCATTTGAGGATGCGCTACCATAAAACTAAAAGATCATAAACAGTCTTAAATTTGAAACAGTGTTCATTCCCTACATGTAAGTGATATTAATCTACAATTTGTAATAGGTTATACAGCCTGGTTTTAGCTACATGGCTGGCGCAGCATAAGAGCCTCCATAAACTTGTGCCTGGCCTCCCCCAGAAAATATTGTGCATCACCATCTCAATGGTTGGTAACCCAGGCAAAGCATGTCCATCCATGCAACTGAGAAAGAACTTTGGAGCAGAACTGCTCAAGGACTATGTGTGCTTTCTTTGTCTTGATGCTCCTTTCCCTTTATTAGTCTGCATGAGAGGGCTGGGGATTTAGCTCAGTGGCACAGCGCCTGCCTGGCAAGCGCAAGGTCGTGAGTTTGACTCCCGGTACCGGAAAAAAAAAAAAAAAAAAAGCTTTTTGATTCCTGGTACCAGAAGAAAAACAAAACAAATTAATCACTGCAGTCTCCTCTTCTGCCTCACTACCCAATTCTATACATGCACGCATGTGCACGCGCGCGCGCACACACACACAGGTATGCAATCTTTCTTCCCTCTAGTGGGGAATATGAAAAGGATAATGGAGATGCTTGGCTTTGTTCTGCCCTCCTCCCTCTTGGGACAGTTCTTGCCCATCTGAGCACACACACTATGCTTCTCCAGGGAAGGCCTGCTCTAGCACAGCAGTGATAGGAACGGTGAGATCTGACACTACTGCGGTTCACAGCTACTACAAAGTTTCTACCTTGAAGAGAAATCAATATACTATTTAAGAAGGACTTATTGAAAAGACAAAGTAAATTAAATTTCTTACATGTTCCTTTCCAAGTGAATAATATGTTCTTTTCCTTGCACTGGAATGACATAAGATACCTACATGCAGAGAAGGGAAAAAAAAAAAAAACATTATTTTATTAATTAGTTTTCAACAAAATGTTTATAAGACACAGGAAATTCTACCCTGAATTAAAATAATTTAGTACTGACTATAGTTCACTTATAAAAGACCTGGGTCACTATTCTTAAATAATAATCACCCGTATGTTTATCTAAACTCTTTATTCATTTGTAATTCACCTATAACTTCAGGGAAGAGTCCATCCATGCATTATCTAGAGGATAGAGCAGTTCTTCATTTTGTTTAAATAAAATGAACTTAGTTTCAAGAGATTACTCCTAGTTGTAATTCTCCAAACATGGAAAAGAAATCCATACTTTTAAAACACTGTATGGGGCCATGAATATAGCTCAGTGGCACAGTGCTTTCCTGGTAAGCAGCAAGGTTCTGATTTTGATTCCCGAGTGAGTGTGAGTGTGTGTGTGGGGGGGAGTAGGAGGAAGGAAGCGGGAGGGAAAGAGAGGGAAGGGGCAGGAAAGAAAACACTGTGTCTTCACACAGCCCACCTCATTTCATCACTCCTACCATCTCATAATAACATCCCTGGGGTGAGGATGCATCACACAAAGGAACAGCAATCTAACTGGCAATACTTGTGGGTTTTGTTGTTCTTGTGGTTTGAGTTTTTGTGTTTATTGGTTTATTTGTTTTTTAGTAGTGGAGATTAACGCCAGGTCTTTGTGCCAAGTAATATCCGCAGCCCTTTTTTTTTTCTTTTTTTGAGACAGTATCACTCAAAGTTGCGATCCTCTTGCCTCTAAATTAACATTTTGTCCAGAAGTAGCATGATGCCCTCTACTGGGGCACATTAACCAAGGACTTTTAAAGGCCCAACCAATTCCTGGATCCTGGCATCCTAGTTCTGTTGACAGAACTCTTATCTAACTCAATCCTGCACTGAGACATCAAACTTACCAAGCTCCAAAATACAGGCATTTACAATATTACTCTTCTCCCATGTCAGTGAAGATACAGCATAAAATAGTCTACTTATCACAATCTGAGTGGGGCTTGTTCTTGTTATTAAGTAAAACCGCTGTGACCATTGCTAATCAGTTTGGAGTTAGAAATCTATGTAGTCAGCATTCTAATCTGGTTGCAGAATTCTACTTATTTCATTGTTATATTTTGAGTTGATCACTTTGTCTTTAAAAAAAAAAAAGATACAAAGGCTCAATATGTTGCTTTTACCAGAAAAATGTCCAGTGGACATCAGTAGCATATAGTGCCACATTAAATAGTGACTGACTAATTACTCCCTGAACCAGGCTCTCCTGAAATTACCACCTTTGGTTTAAAAAAGAAGTATGCTTATATACCTACACAGGTCTTAAGAGATAACGTACCTGTTTTAAATAAGGCCTTGGGGCTTCTCTTCGGTCTCTAGTTAATCTCCAGGGAGTTACAATTTCATAAGAAGAGAGGTATGAGGTCTGTTGAAAGCCTACATGAATAATAAATATGATACAATAAGTGAACCTGAAAAACTACATAATGCCAAAATTTAATGGAAATCAAAAGTTGAAAGTTCAAATCACTGAAAAATCATCTGACATCCCCATATTAAAAAAATATTTATAGCCAGGTGTGGTAATACTATAGATAGCTAACGTATTCAGAAATATTATAGGCAGTCAGATGGGGCAGGCTGGTACAGAGACAGCTGTGGCTAGAAGGTCGGGCCTCAGGAAGAAGAGGGTGGACTCCACCCATATACTTCCCCTAGGGATGAACAGCAGAGACTGATTATTCTAAACTGGCATCAATCACCTTGGGTGGAGGACCAAAACCTCTTTAACTCACTCCTTCCAGGAAAGTCCTTGTTAGTTCCATGTCCACCTGCTTAATGACTTGCTTCCCCATTTGATCCCCATGTAATCATTATCTAAGTGACTATACATGTAACTCTTATTGGATGACTAGTTTTGTCCCACCTCATACCTACTTTGTCATTTCCCAATGGATCAATATTACCTAAGAAACTGTACTTCTAATCTTATTAGTTAACTATAATTTTGTCCCATCTTACACCACACCTCACCTCATAGTTTTACACTATAAAACTCCCTTGAGAAGCAGGTTCCCCATGGCCACCCTCTTGGGACTCCCTTCTGTTCCTATTAAAAGCTTTCTTTCTCTCAAATACCTCCTATTATTAACCTCTATTGTTCCTAGAATTCATTCTTCAATTTTAGAGAACACAAACTCAGCATATCAGATATCTAATAGATCAGGAGTTATATTTCCCTTATATTATTTGGATTATTTGGAGGTCCCATATCATCCCTGTATCATACGCCCTATATCCAGTGCACACCTATAATCCCAGCTACTCAAAAAGCTGAGGCAGGAGAATCAAAAGATTGAAGCCAGCCTGACCTACTTAGCAAAACCCTGTCTCAAAAAATAAATGTTTTTAAATGGGTTGGGATGTGCTGGGTGTGGTGGTGCACGCTTGTAATCCTAGCACTGAGAAGGCAGGAGGACTGCTTCAAGTTCAAGGCCAGCCTAGGCTACAAAGTGAGTTCAAGGCCAGCCTAAACTCTATAGCAAAACCATCTCAAAAGGACTAAGTAAATAAATAAGTTGGGGGTGGGGCTCAGTGGTGGAATATATGCATAAGGTCCTGAGTTTAATCTGCAATACAATTTAAAATACACACATACACACACACACACATATATATAAAATACAGATAAGTTTATATGAAATTTTTCATTAAAGTAGCAAAGTAACAATGTACTAGATAAGGATGGCATAGCATAATAGCTCCTGAAAAAGGATGTCAGTTTTTATCTGAACATGTTATACATAGCAATCATTTTCAAAGTGCAATAAATAGGCTTTCAGCAAGTCAGACACAAGCTTTTTCTTTCGTCACCCTTTACCAATGGCCTAACAATTCTTTCAATGAACTCGATGACGTAGATCGTCACCATCTAAGGCACATAGATAAAAAATCCACAACTCTATAAAACCACATTCCATGTAAGGAAGCTTGAGAGCAGCATACACAAAGTGAAAGGACGGGAAGAACAGTCACGTCTTCCATGTATCTGAGTATAGATGCATGCCTCCCAAGTGGGGGAGTGCAAACTTTCTTACACTAAAGAGCTTTATACCAAATGCACTGTATGGACCTTTGGATCCTAGTTAAAATTAGCCAACTGAAAAATAAAATCTGTGATAATCCAGGGAGCTTCTGACATGGTGTTGATATTTGATGATCTTGACTGATGTCCACTGGACATTATTCTAGTAAAAGCAACATAATGAGCCTTTGTATCTTTTTTTAGAAAGACAGAATGATCAACTCAAAACATAACAGAATGATCTTAATTTTTTAAGTGCATTGTTGGTAAGGTTTTATGCCCTTAGAGAGTCCTTCTGAATATTCAAAAATAATGTGATATTTAGGATATGCATTAAAATAATCTAGTGTGTTTGAAGAAAGAGATATATACAAACAAAACAGGATTAAAACTGGATAATGGTGGTGCAGGCTTCTAATTCCAACACCTGGGAGACTCACCACAGAAGGACAGCCACAAGTTAGCACAAGGCCACCCTGAGCTACATAGTGAGACCCTGTCTCAAAGAACAAAAAACAAAAGACTGATGTATGTTTTAAAACTACAACAAAAATAATTATTTTTAGTGGTATGGGATGAAGACTTTAAAGAGAAAAAAATAAAATTCCAAAACAAAGACTTCTCACTTTATATAATCTCTGTGACAGTAATTATGAAATACTACCACTACATCAGATAATAAATATAATATTAAATGTAAACAGAATAAGTAAATAGGTCAAACTGTTGTTTTTGTTTTGTTGTTGTTGAGACAGGGTTTCCCTATGCAGTTCAGGCTAGCCTTGAACTCATTATGTAGCCCAAGCCAGCTTCAAATCCACAGGGATTTTCCTGCCTCAGCCTCCCAAGTACTAGGATTATAGGCATGCACCACCACACCTAGATGGACCAAACTGTTTAAAGCACTTACTACTATGAAGTGGAACCAGAGAATTATGAGAAAAGTAATATATTTTCCTACACTTCTGTATTTCTGAAGTGTTTGAATTTGTATCACTGTATTACAATTTGCATCACTGTATTACTTTTGAAATTATAAGGGCAACAAAAGAGTGTTTCTTCAATGAAAACAGTATAAAATGTTTAAGTACTGATTATCTAGAATCACTCCCAAAAGGTCAAGCCCTTCTCTCAAGGCCTCACATTCTATTTTCTGTGTGTACTTGTTTTATTCTGCCTAGCTTGTAAACATTTCTAATACCTCTCCCAAAAAAAAAAAATCCTTTATATTACCTTTTTTTTTCAGTGCTGGGGATCAAACCCAGAGATTCATAGCTGTCAAGCAAAAGATCTACCACTGAGTTACACCCCATGCTCTGTCACCCTTAGCAGTCTCCTATCCAGACTACTGTGATAGCTCTTCCCTGGTGCCCCACCTCTCCTCCTCTGATCAATCTGTATGTTCATTTCCTCATTAAATGCTTAATGCTCTTCGGCTTCTCAAATACAGATTACAATGAAATATATACATCTAACTTTTCCCAAGATAATACTATACATGAAAATGTTTACAGCCCTGTCTCGTTTTGGATTTAAAAACACAGATAAGAAAATACAAATTATATCAAATACATGTCATGTTGTCTTTAGTTACTTTCTTGTCATTGAGACACAATACACCCACAACTCTAAGAATGAGAGATTTATTTTGGTTCCTAGTGTGTAGAGCTTTCAGTCTATAGTAGGTTGGCTCCAAGGCAGAGGACCATGTCAGAGAGGCATGGCAGAGGAGAAACAGTTCACTGCACAGCAGCAAAAAGCAGAAAGGAATCAAGGGAGGAGGGAGGGAGATAGACTCTTCAGGACCCCAGTGACCCACCTCCTCCAACCAGACTTCACCTTCCAAATCACACTGAGCTATAAATTAATCAGTAGACTAATTCACTGATAAACATCACACCCCATGATTCAATCACTTTCCAAGAAGCTTTGGAGGGACATCCAGATATAAACTATAAAACATGGTAAGTTTTCAAATTCTTTACCCATCAACCCCTTGTGGCATATTATATTATCTAGATATTGCTTTATATCATTAAATTAAAACATTAAAAATGGACTCCATAAATCACAAAGCACCCACAGGCTGATTTAAGCCATATTTATGACACACCATGATCAAATATAGTTGGGATTAATAATTAAGAACCATGAACCATGTCAAAAGAAATCCATGATAGATGAATAAACCACTAGGCAGAAATATCATAACCCTACATTAACAGAGGTTTTCAGTTTTCTTGAGTTCCAAAAAACACAAGTTTAAATATTATCCTTAAGAATTTCCCTTCTGAAAGAAGGAGAAATTTTGTATGTATGTATATACAGGATAGTTAACATAGTTGAACTACTGTCTTCTATTTCTTTGCTGAAAGAAACAGTTAATGATTCCTTGATTGATCAATATTGCATGTCTCCATTTGTTTTCATGAGAAACCGCTTTGAAGATATCAATATGTACTACAACAAGCATTGTTAATTTCCTACCACTTTGTTTGTAACTCTGTATTGTCTATGTTGGTCTTTTGCTATTTTGTAAATGGTTGTCTGTTTGTTAATGTTTTCCTTCTTTTATTTTTAAAATTTAAAAAAAAAAAATTTCCCTTCTGATCACAGTAACCCATTCAACTACTAGGATAGTCACTCTAGAAGCACTGGCAAGAAAAGACAAAATGCTTTGAGGTAACAGATTAGAAGCCCTGTGTCATTAAAAAGTAAACCATCCTGCCCATTTCTATGCAATTTCTTATATGACCTTACAATTACTGCAAAATAAAAAACAAATCAATACAAGCAAGAACACATGTATGCTGACAGACACAAATACCTGTTACACTAAAGGCTAAACCATTGGCAACTAAATTGAAATGTTTTCATTACAACTCAGAAGGAAACATCGCAGGGCAAAAGAAATACCTTAGAAATGCCAGGCAGTTCTCATGGGCAGAAAGATATTCAAAGAGCTCTTGTCCTGAAACAGTTTAAGTGACTCCATAAGGTCATACACTTACTTTTAAGCCAGACTAGAAACCAAGTCTTCTGTCTTCTGACTGCCAGCAAAGACTAAAAGCCAGATATAGGGTATAGGAATCTAAAATACAACTTTCTTTTCTTCCTTTCCCATTTTAAAATGCAGGTCTCATTTTGAAAACCAAAATGCCACAAGTAATCATTGGTTTTAAAAAGGCTTTCAAAACATAGCACCCTAAAATAACTTCTATATGTAAGAGCTCTTACTCTGATACTGACACCTTTTGAAAATCCAAGGATCCACTTTCTGAATTAATGCCATGCCACAGAGTTCTGGGCTCCACATCATAACAAAGGTACAAATTTGGGAAATACCATCCAA